TTCTTCTTCTTCTTCTTCTTCTTCTTCTTCTTCTTCTTCTTCTTCTTCTTCTTCTTCTTCTTCTTTTACTCTTCTTATTCTTATTCTTATTCTTATTCTTATTCTTATTCTTATTCTTGTTCTTATTCTTATTCTTATTCTTATTCTTATTCTTATTCTTATTCTTATTCTTATTCTTATTCTTATTCTTATTCTTATTCGTATTCTTATTCATATTCTTATTCTTATTCTTATTCTTATTCTTATTCTTATTCTTTTCTTCTTCTTCTTCTTCTCTATTTCCTTTATTTACTTCTTATTCTTCTTCTTCTTCTTCTTATTCTTATTCTTCTTCTTATTCTTCTTCTTATTCTTCTTCTTATTCTTCTTCTTATTCTTCTTCTTATTCTTCTTCTTATTCTTCTTCTTATTCTTCTTCTTATTCTTCTTCTTATTCTTCTTCTTATTCTTCTTCTTATTCTTCTTCTTATTCTTCTTCTTATTCTTCTTCTTATTCTTCTTATTCTTCTTCTTATTCTTCTTATTCTTCTTATTCTTCTTCTTATTCTTCTTATTCTTATTCTTATTCTTATTCTTAATCTTATTCATTATTATTCTTATTATTCTTCTTCTTCTTCTTCTTCTTCTTCTTCTTATTCTTCTTCTTCTTCTTCTTCTATTATTCTTCTTCTTCTTCTTCTTCTTCTTCTTCTTCTTCTTCTTCTTCTTCTTCTATTATTCTTCTTCTTATTCTTCTTCTTATTCTTCTTCTTATTCTTCTTCTTATTCTTCTTCTTATTCTTCTTCTTATTCTTCTTCTTATTCTTCTTCTTATTCTTCTTCTTATTCTTCTTATTCCTCTTATTCTTCTTATTCTTCTTATTCTTATTCTTATTCTTATTCTTATTATTCTTCTTATTCTTATTCTTATTCTTATTCTTATTCTTATTCTTATTCTTATTCTTATTCTTATTCTTATTCTTATTCTTATTCTTATTCTTATTCTTAATCTTATTCTTAATCTTATTCTTATTCTTATTCTTATTATTATTCTTATTATTCTTCTTCTTCTTCTTCTTCTTCTTCTTCTTCTTCTTCTTCTTCTTCTTCTTCTTCTTCTTCTTCTTCTTCTTCTTCTTCTTTTCTTATTATTATTCTTCTTCTTTAACTTCTTCTTATTCTTCTTCTTCTTCTTATTATTCTTTTACTTCTTCTTATTATTCTTCCTTCTTCTTATTCTTCTTCTTATTATTATTCTTCTTCTTCTTATTATTCTTTATTATTCTTCTTATTCTTATTCTTATTCCTTATTCTTATTCTTATTATTCTTCTTATTCTTATTTATTATTCTTATTCTTATAATTCTTCTTCTTCTTATTCTTATAATTCTTCTTCTTCTTATTCTTATAATTCTTCTTCTTCTTATTCTTATAATTCTTCTTATAAT